GCCATGTAAATGCAAATGCCGCAGGGGATATTTAAATCCCCCGCGGAATTTACAATTCCGAAGTCTACATTAGCATCCCTTTTCCGGAAAGGGGTGCCAATGTAGACACAGCCATAGAAAAGAAAGGGAAGTGCAGGAGCAGCAGCAGGGAGAGGGAGCCTAGAACATGGGGACTGGTGCAAAATATGAGGCCTGAACCAAAGGCTTTAAACCAAAGTCAGGCCATGTATTAAACCAGGCCTGGGGGACCTTTTTAGGTTCAGGGGCCACTGACTCACAGAAAAATCAGTCAGGAGCTGCACACAAGTGAAAAGTGGGGGGGAAAAAAATCAAACCCTCACTGATGTGGCCCCTAACTGAGAAGGAGAAAAACGCTCCTCACATTCCTCACATCAGAGCAAAGGCTTTAAACCAAAGTCAGGCCATGTATTAAACCAGGCCTGGGGGACCTTTTTAGGTTCAGGGGCCACTGACTCACAGAAAAATCAGTCAGGAGCTGCACACAAGTGAAAAGTGGGGGGGAAAAAAATCAAACCCTCACTGATGTGGCCCCTAACTGAGAAGGAGAAAAACGCTCCTCACATTCCTCACATCAGAGCCTAGGAAGGCGCAGACTTGTAGATGTTGTGTGCTCCTGCCCTGCAAGGGAATGGCGGGGGTGCTGGGTTGCCAGCATGGGCTCCCCAATGCTGGGGGAGAGCCCTGAGCCTCAGGGGCTAGATCCAGGCAAGCTGGGGACCACATCTGGCCCCTAGGCCTTAGGTTCCCCACCTCTGTATTAAAACAAGTGCATATAACTTTACTGTCCAATATATGAACTTGGCAAAGTAGTTGCTGTTGTACTAGGCTCCGGTATTTATGTAAATAAATTTTAGCTACTACAAATACATCCCGAATTAGTACAAAATAAAATTCATTGACAAAGTAAGGAATAAGGCTGTTTTTGTCCAATCTATTAGAAGCAAGGGGAAGTTAAAAACCAAATGTCATAAAACATGTAAAGGAGTGTGTAAGTTGTTTGTGTATACATATCACCTTAACCCTTTGTGTGGTTGAGGGAACAGTGGAAGTTCCTCTGCTAATGAAGTTGTTCTTTGTTATTGGGCACTTGTGTTAGCAAAGGGAATGTAGACAAGGTCCCAGTTTGGGAGTATGTACTATGAGGGGGGCTGAGGCCTCTTTGTGCTGAGTGAGGTAGGTAGGTAAAGGTAAATCTATATACTTTGTCGTGAGGGATTGACCCTTTACCTCTTGGGGGATAAGGGTAGTCTGTACTGTGGAATTTGCAGGCTCTTTTTGCACAGTGGTAGAAGTAGTGGAACGTCTTTTCTAGAGAAATGGTAGTTGAAGGACCTTTTGTGGTAGCAAAATACGGCACACTGCAGTGTGTCCTGTAGCAGGAGAGTAGACTGGTGAAGACAGCTGTGTCTGTATGAGGTACTTCACTAGGCATTTGACAGCTGGTTGGTGGCCTATAATGGAAATGCAGCTGGCAATAATTAGTTGATGGGGGTTCTCTGGTTTATTAATGCAGTGCAGGGAAGTGACAGGCTAAGCTAAGATTAGCATTGGAGCCACAAGTGTAAATTTTCCAATTACAAAACTTTATTATGTTTAAAACTGTCCTAGTTTTTAAAGGGAAATACATAGATCTTAACTTAGTAATTCTTTTCTTTTTGGGCCAGGAAATCCTGTATAGGTGTTAGAAATTCTTAACCTGATTTGTACTGCTTCTGTTTCACTCTAAGTCAAATACTTCATTTTATTCAGGATCTGGTATCCAGTATTTGCATGAAAACAGAATTATACACAGAGATCTAAAGCCTGAAAATATTGTTCTCCAGGAAGAAGGTGGAAAGGTAAGTCATATAACTGTGCCAATGAATAGTACCTTTTTGTCCCAAATATCAGGCCTGGAAGTCATCTAACAATTTTACCATGGCTGATTAAAATGAAGGATGCTACTGCGCTTTTACTGAGCATAGCAATGAATACCATTGAATGATGCTCACGCAGAAGACAACCATGATTTTAATAAAGTTCATATTCCATCTTAACATTACAAATTCTGATTGTAATATCCTTGAAGACTTGTTAATTGAAAGGTCACTGTACAGCAATGTATTTGTATTTTTTTTCTATC